TATATATATATATGTCTGTCTTTATATGTATATCTTCTTATGATCTCATCATGTATTTATATCTACTTAAGGTCTTATATCTCTTTATCAGTCTACATGAATATGTATGTGTACTTTATTTCCAATATGCATATTTAATATTTCTTTGCAAAATAACAGTTATACAGAAAAAAGGTAAGCTATTACAGAAAATATTGTTACTGTACTTAAACAACTAGTGACCATACAAGTTTTGAATAAACCTATTCATAATTTTAGGGTTTTCAAATGTATTACTTTTTGAGCTAATTTTTCAATCAAACAATTTTCCTCATTTTAAAATGCCATTAATTCAGAAAAAGATGTACTTTAGATGTTCATTGTTGTACAATAACCAGTCTAGCAACTAGCAATAACTGAATCTTATAGTGCATCAATGCATATGCTTAGGAGTTTATTAAAAATATTTAAATGATTAAGGATGAACAGAAAGATCTGTGAAAATGTCTGTAAATACCCATTAACCACATGAATGATGTGATTTATAAGCTGCTCTTCTCTTGTATCTCTGTAACCAGGTGAGAAGGACAGAACAATTCAATAAATTAGGATCAATTTTAATACTGAGTTAAGATGCAGCAACAACTCGCAGTTAACATAATGGCCTGACTCACACAACACTCTACCAATTTTTTTCAATCATAATTTATTAACAAGTTACAGTTTGATTAACAACAACAACAACAAAAATCACAGTGGTCTGGATTACCATAAAGCTAAACCAGAACAGCAGCAGAGTTCACACATGTTAAAACAAATGTAAATCACAGGTCAGATATGAGATCAGTCTGAGATTCACAAACTAGAGGCATTGTTGACTGGCCATAAGCAAGCTTAAATTAGTCTAGTTAGAACTGGGTATACTAACATTAAGCTAGTGTGATCAAACTAAACCAGAAGAGTTTCCCTCTAAATAAACTTGTAAAGGATTACAGTATTCACCTGGACCAAAATTGGAAACACTTCAGAAATAGTGGAGAGGACTTTTAAAATCTTTCTCCAAAAATAAATCATAATTATTTAAAGTACAAATTTTACTTTCTTTTATGGAGAGCTTCAAAAGCAATTTGCATGTAACATCAGACTAGAGCATTAATTGCCTTTTTACGGTGTTAAATTATGGGAAATTAATGTTTGGCGTACATTTGTTTATAGCTTGGCATTCAGCTAGAATGACACAGCTTAAGTTAATTATGACAATTTTATAACTATCAATAGATTTCATTTTGTTTCAGGGTACAACAGACAGCATCTTTTTTTGCCAAGTCCTCACCTCTGGTTTGGACACAATGCAAAGTAAAGGATAGAGGTATCTGGACAGAAAAATATAATCCAGTTATAATCAGAATAATTGCACAAATGACACAAGCTGCACTTCCATATCTACTGTAATCAATTCATTCTATATGACAGTAACCCTGGTCCCTTTGCATAGGTTTTTCCTTGAAATTTGATCAACAAAACTTTTCATTAAAATAGAAGTTGTAATAAAAACTTACTTGGGGGTTCACAGAAAATCACAAAAATTTATCATCATCATCATCATCATCATCATTTTTCCTCAATGCTTAATACTGTTTTTGCCTGAAACATATTTTTCTTTAAAATAATTTACTACTAAATGTGAAGGTTATCACTAGGAAGATGGTAGCGATTTATGTGTGCATTCTTCTCCCTAATCTTCATGCATATGTATAAGTGCAGAAAAAGTAATCTCCTCTAGTAAATGCATTATGTATTTACATATATTTAGTGTAACTAAAAAAAAAGTGTCACCTGATTTCTTAATGCACATATTTTCTGCAAGGAATAAATATAGTATAATATCAGTTTAGTTTTAAATAGCTGAATTGTTGATAATAATTAAAAATTGTTATTACAGCTAAACTGGGGAGATCTTGTGATGGCTCCCTTACTGCAGCTAACACCATCCTCTCTTGTTGTTGTGCTTTTTTTATAGTTTTGAAAAATGAATGTTTTAATATATTTATTGGTTTTTTAATTAAGTGTTGTATGCTGCCCAGAATCGTTTCTTTGTGAGATGGGCGGCCATACAAATTTGATAAATAAATAAAGTTTTGAGTTTAGGAAAAGTTTATTCTAAATAAGAAGTGAGTAGCTTGACACCCTATAATAATTCCCAACAGCATAGTTAGCATATACTTTAGCAACTTTTAGTTGTCTTCCCCTGTTCTAAATCAATCTATTTTGATTAAAATTCCTCTCTGCAACTACTCTATAGCATTAGGAATTTGCCTACTACCTTGCATTGGCTATGCAACATTTAAATCTTAAAAGAAGTTAGTAAAAGAAAATGTGTCAGGTAAATATAACATTTTTCTCCATCGATAATGCAAAGCATCAAAACCAGTTTACCTTGATATGTTTCACTCCACAGCTAGCCACTCGGTTAGGTTGATATGGATCCCAGGAAATATCAAAAATCTGTCAAAACACATTCAAAACTGCTACACTAAATTAAAAACCACATGCATTAAATCCTATAAGTGTCTATTTCTCTTTCACAAGTTTAACAAAGTTCTATGGTTCTATTATCAAGATTGTTAATAGGTATATCAAAGTTGATAACTTTTCTTATGAAAGACTAATGCATTTGGAAAGTAGCTGGCAAAACAAACATCTTGTGGTTCATTTATTTCAATAAAGTCTCAGTTCCAAATAGTATTTGTGTATGTAACAGGAATATTAACAATTATAGGGAAAAAATGGAAAACGTCAATAAATACCAAATTGCACAGAGCTAAAGGAAAAAGATGAGATTTTAAATAAACAGTATTGTTATAAAAGCTATTCTGTATTTATTAGGTAAAGCACATCCTACCTATACAGATATCACTCCTAAAACAACTGATCCTACAATATTGTGCTTACCTGCCTATCACTATTTAATTGCTCCATCTAGTAAATTGTACAAATGTGTGCTCTGCATAGTTTAAATTGATAGCAGAATCGTTCAAAACTGGGCACAACTTTAGCCTGTAACATTCTTTTGTTGGGGACTGCTTCAAAATACCGTTTTAATTCCCTAAAATAATCACCACATAAAACCAAAGGGCCACTGATATAATGGGAGTCTCATGAAAGGAACCTTTGCCAAGAGCTCCCTGCAGCTCTACACACAGGAAGAAACCAACTGTGATGGACAAACCTACTCTCAGGGAAGCTTTCAGTTAGCAAATCTTTTCAGGCAGAGACAATACTATGCCCTTTTTGCAATAGCACAGTTGCCATAAAATAAAACAGATTAACTCTCTCAAGAGTTCCAAATCTGATGAGATTTTTGCAATCTCACCCTCTAAAACCTCACACAACTAGTGCCTGAAATCATGTGAGATATTAAATACTAAACTCTCAGAATTTTAGTGAATATTAAGTGATACTTTATGTGAAGGAAGCCTGGTAACTGGATATGACAACAAATAAACATGCATGAAGATACACATTTTTTTATAAGCCTGGTAACTGGATATGACAACAAATAAACATGCATGAAGATACACATTTTTTTATAAGCCTGGTAACTGGATATGACAACAAATAAACATGCATGAAGATACACATTTTTTTATAAGCCTGGTAACTGGATATGACAACAAATAAACATGCATGAAGATACACATTTTTTTATCATCATTTATGGAACAGATATACCTCATCAATAACATTTTTCACAGCTATTTCATTATTGTTGTGGTCACTATCCTTGGTTC